TCCATCCGTCCATCCATCCATCCTTCCTTCTATCCATCCGTCTATCCATCCATCCATCCATCCATCCATCCATCCATCCATCCATCCATCCATCCTTCCTTCTATCCATCTGTCCATCCATCCATCCATCCATCCTTCTATCCATCCATCTATCCATCCATCTATCCATCCATCCCTCCATCCTTGTATCCATCTGTCTAGCCATCCACTCATCCATCCATCCATCCATCCATCCATCCATCCATCCTTCTATCCATCCATCAATCCATCTATCCGTCCATTCATCTATCCGTCCATCTATCTGTCCGTCCATCCATCCATCCATCCATCCATCCATCCATCCATCCATCCATCCATCTATCCATCTACCCATTTACCCACCCACCCACCCACCCAATCATCTATTTATATCTATTTACCTACCGTATTTCTTCAATGGTAAGACGCCATCGATCATAAGATGCTCCCTAATTTCAGTACCACCTCCACCAACAAAAGGACATCAGATACACCTGTGATCCTAAGTCATGCCCAATTTTTAGGGATATTTATGTAGGAGGAAAATGTGTCTTAGAACTGAAGAAATACAAGTGCATGTCAAATTAAAATATGCCCATGAAAACAGCAGCGACAAATGGGGTACAGCATCCTACTCAAGGCTTTGTTACCTTGCCTGGTGGAGCCTTAACCGGTCCCTGGTTCTGGGCTTGATGCTGGGTTCTGTGGGCCCACAGAGTGATGGCATGCCTTCCTTCCTTCCTTCTCCCAGATCCTCCGCATGCTGAAGGGCTACGACTCCCACCACGTCCTGCTGCTGCCGCCCCGCATCCCTGGGGATAAGCTGCCCCCCGAAGTCCTGGAGTTCTATGAGGAACAGAAGAAGATCCTAGGTGACCAGGAGGCCACCAATGTGGAAACCGGTGAGTGGATTTAAAGATCAAACAGCAAAGACTCTGGCACAAGTCATTCAAGAGGTCCCAGTGGTGATGGGCACACTGGGTACAGTCCCTAAAGACCTTGGCCTGCACTTAAACACAATCGATTTCTTTCTCGATTTCTTCTTTTTGCAACACTAAATACACTATGTCCTGTTTAATTATCAGATTGCATTTTCCTCCCCAAAAAGGCCATCCAGTCCAACCCCTTTCTGCCAAGAAGCAGGAAAATTGCGTTCAAAGCACCCCAGACAGATGGCCATGCAGCCTCTGTTTCAAAGCCTCCAGAGAAGGAGCCTCCACCACACTCCAGGGCAGAGAGTTCCACTGCTGAACAGCTCTCACAGTTGGGAAGTTCTCCTTCCCTGTAGTTTGAAGCAATTGCTGCATATCAAAGCACCCCTGACAGATGGCCATGCAGCCTCTGTTTCAAAGCCTCCAGAGAAGGAGCCTCCACCACACTCCGGGGCAGAGAGTTCCACTGCTGAACAGCTCTCACAGTTGGGAAGTTCTCCTTCCCTGTAGTTTGAAGCAATTGCTCCACATCCTAGTCTCCAGGGCAGCAAAACAAGCTTGCTTCCCCCTCCCTATGACATATTCCCCTCACCTCTTGATCCCTGGCCCTCATCCTGTCTTCTCTCAGCCTTCTCTTCTGAAGGCTAAACATGCCCAGCTCTTTCAGCCACTCCTCATAGGGCTTGTTCTCTAGATCCTTGATCATTTTGGTCACTCTCCTCTGGACACATTCTAGCTTGTCAATGTCTCCCTTCAATTGTGGTGCCCACACTTGTAAGTCACCATCGTGCAGGCTTTCCTTCTGGCTTGGTGCACTCATATGGCAGAAAGTCCAAAAGTCACAAAAAGGAGCTTGGTGATTTCCACTGAGCCAAAAGAGGGAGCCCTGCAGCGCTGAGGTCGAAGTTTGTCCTTGGTTCTTGGGAAACTATAGCTCCTTCCAAGGGCTGGAGCCTGGTGATCGGTCTGCTCCCTGGAAGCCCTGTGGGGTAACCGCATCAAGTCTCCAGGGCAGGGGGCTCCAGAAAGACGAAGAAGCGGCAAGAACAGCGACAGCGCAGCAGCAGCAGTGAGGCTCGGATTTTGACAATCAGCTGTTTTCCTTAAAAATATTCTTAATAAACCAAAGGTTATTCCCTGAGCGTAGGAGCCCGAAATGCAAAAAGTGAGATGGCAGATAGGGTTAGAATTGAGTTAGGAAAAATATGGCATCGAAATGGAGTCGATCCGTCAACTTGCGGATACGGGGGCCCGAGGGGTTTCCGTATACGCGGTTTGAAGGAACGCAGATTCGGCCTCCCTGGGACGCCTCAGAACCTCTGAGATGGCTCAGAACCTTCTATAGCTGCTCAATAAAACCCAGAGAGTGTTGCCCATTGACGGGGCCACTTGGGTTCACTGTGCCATCCTTCCCTCCCCACTGCAGTAGACGAAGACGTGGCACCCCTTTCTGAGCCCGGAATGAGGCCTCAGCCTTCCAGCACCGGGCAAACCGTCTCAACAGTTGGCTCGCTCCTTCATTCCCTCTCGGTCCATGAGGACAACCGGAGCTTCAGGATAGAATCTAAGCTGGACCAGGAGGAGGAAGAGGAAGAAGAGGGGACGGACAAATGCCAAGCGCAAGGTGAGGAGCGGGTCTCATTGCGTCTCCAAATGCACGGCCGCGTTGCTTTCCCTGCTCCCAGAGACTCAACGGCCAAGGGATGGAGGCCCAACTCCAAAGCGACACTCTGCTGCCACCTGGCGGGAGGCTTCCAAAGAGGCAGCTGTAGTCTCCAATGGGACTGTTGTCTCAGTTGTGTTACCAACACTTGACAAGGTTTCCTAAACACAAACCGGAGAGGGTTTGGCACGCTGAGCCCACTGAGGCCTCCTTTCCCTTCTTCCATCAGCAGGGAGCCAGCTCAGCCTGGTGGCCAAGCACAAGGAGGCCGTGGGAGAGCTGGACAACAACCCCGTCTCCAAGGCCATTGCGCGCCACTTGGGCATTGACATCTCTCCGGAGGGGCGGGCGGCCAGGAACCGCAGGGGCATCGCCATCATCATCCACGGAGCCCCCCTGACAGGTACGGCCGGCACAGAGAGGGCCCCCTCCATCCACACCTTGCTCTTCACTAATAACATTCTAACCTAGAACGGAGAATATTTTTTTCGGTGGCCTGAAAAGAAGAGCCGAGGAAAGGGCTCTTATCGCTTAGAACAGTAGTTCTCAACCTGGGGTCCCCAGATGTTTTTGGCCTACAACTCCCAGAAATCTCAGCTAGTTTATCAGCTGTTAGGATTTCTGGGAGTTGTAGGCCAAAAACATTTGGGGACCCCAGGTTGAGAACCCCTGACTTAGTAACTTCTAACCCAGAGCATTCCTGTCTAGAACATGCTAACCTAGAGCCCCATGACCTAGAACACCAATTTAGAGAACAAAGAATATTCTTTGCGTGGCAATCCAAGAAGAGCTGGGGAAATAGCTATCTAGCGTAGAACCTTCTGACCTAGATCCCTATCTAGAACACACCAACCTAGACCACAATGGCATAGAACCTAACCAATATCATTCTAACCTCAAACTGAGAATATTCTTCATGTGGTGGTCCGAAAAGAAAAGCTGAGGAAAGTGCTCTTCTCAGAACCTTCTATCCTAGAGGCTTCTGGTCTAGAACCCAGTGACCTAGAACACCCACACTTAGATCATTTTAACCTAATACAAGAAAGATTCTTTGTGCGTCAATCCGAAAAGAAGAGCCGAGGAAAGGGCACTTATCACTTAGAACCTTCTAACCCAGAGCATTCCTGTCTAGAACATGCTAACCCAGAGCCCCGTGACCTAGAACACCAATTTAGAGAACAAAGAAGATTCTTTGTGTGGCAATCCGAGAAGAGCTGGGGAAAGAGCTCTTCTAGCGTAGAACCTTCTAGCCTAGAACCTGATCTAGAACACACCAACCTAGACCACAACGGCATAGAACCTAACTAATATCATTCTAACCTAAAACTGAGAATATTCTTCATGTGGTGGTCCGAAAAGAAAAGCTGAGGAAAGTGCTCTTCTCAGAACCTTCTATCCTAGAGGCTTCTGGTCTAGAGGCCAATGACCTAGAACACCCCAACTTAGATCATTATAACCTAAAACGAAAAAGATTCTTTGTGCATCTATCCAAAAAGAAGAGCTGTGGAAAGGGCTCTTCAAACTTAGAACCTTCAAACCTAGAGACTTCTGGTGTAGAACACTCTAACCTAGAGCACCCTTCTACACTGCCCTATATCTCTGGATTTGATCCCAGATGATCTTCTTATCACAGATTATATGGCAGTGGAGACTCATATAATCCAGTTCAAAGCAGATAATCTGGGATCCTGGATATCGGCCAATGGATATACAGCCTGAGACTAAGGCCCCTTCTACACATCTTGATAAAATCCAGATTATCTGCTTTGGATTGAATCGTATGGCAGTGTAGACTCAGACAATCTAGTTCAAAGCAGATAATGTGGATTATCCACCTTGATTTTCTGGATTCTGTGTCAGTGAAGAAGGGCCCTAGTGCAGGATCTATACTGCCATATAATCCATATAATCAAAGCAGATGGTCCAGAGTGTCCACTTTGAACTGGACTCCTTTCTGCACTGCCATATAAAACCCAGATTAACTGCTTTGAACTGGATTGTATGGCAGTGTAGACTCAGATAATCCATTTCAAAGCAGATAATGTGGATTACCTGCTTTCATAATCTGTATTATACACCAGTATAGAAGGAACATGTATTATACGAGTACATACTGCCATATAACCCAGTACAAAGCAGATAACCTGGATTTTATATAGTGTCATGTTGCCAGGGCTCAGCTTTATTTAGGTAGAGATGAACCAAACTCCCACAGAAAACAATAACAAAGCCTCAAGTAAAGAGAAACCAATTTCTGATTGCTAGTGACCTAGCTAACGAGGGGATAAAAGTCTCAAGTTTGGGATGTGTAGTCAAATGAAGCATTGTTTAGAATCACGCCAAGTTCTCATCCTTGTTCAATGTCACGTTGCTAGGGCTCTACCTTATTTAGGTAGAGATGAATCAAACTCCCAGTTTTATCAAACAGTTTAATGTAAACAGCACTTACTTGCTGGCTGTTTTAATAGAGCAAAATATAAAACAGAAAGATAGCACTCAACCACAGAGTAAACAAAAACTGATAGCAAAAGCTACACCGTAGTCAAAGGGTCCAATCCAGTGGTCAAATGCCAAAAGTTCAATAAACAAAGTCCTGGGATCAAGAGTCAATACCATAGTCAAAAGCCAGACCAAAGGTTCAAGGTTCCAGGGTTCCAAGATTACAGAAGACAGGTCAGGATACCGAAAATCCAACAGACCTGGGGGGAAAACCAGCAGCATCCACCACCAAGATCACTTTCAAGGCTCGCTCCTTAAATCCAGTAACACCCAGCTGCAACCTATCTCTTGCATACCTCCACCCTTAATTGCTTTCACCCATGAACTCTTACTTACAGATTACTAAACCCTTTAGAACTAATACTTACATTAACCCTTCCATCACCAAGCACCATCAGCTACAGAACGTATGACATCTAGCAGTGCAGATGCACCCTCAGATGCAGTGAAATCCACCCTGCCTGCTTGGAATACCCTCCGAAATGAGATTAGGTTAGTCCCCACTCTTGACTCCTTCTGATCCAGCCTAAAAACGTGGATTTTTAAGTGGAGTGAGCTCCCATCTGTCAACTCCAGCTTCCCATGTAAGGACACAACTTCAAAGTTTCTCAAGTTCCTTCTGACACGATAAAATTTTTTTCTCAAAAACGACCAGTTCTTCAACCGAGTCAAAGAGCATGCAATGACAGTTGGTTTTAAGACTAGGAAGACTCAGTCCTTCTCTTGTCTTATTGTTTTGTAATACTTTGAATCTACGCCATGGTCTTTTTCCTTGCCAAATAAATACGGATAGATCTCTCTTTTTTTGCCATTGTTTAAATGGAATGTCATTCAGTATAATTGGCAAGGCTTGAAACAGAAACAGCAACGTTGGTGGCACATGTATCTCTATAGCTGAAGCCCTACCCATAAGAGAGAGCTGCAAACCTTTCCACCTATGGAAATCTTTTAAAGACTTCTTTCCGTGTTAAGCTGCCTTTTGACTCTTTCAGTGCTTTTGCCTGTCTTGAGAGTTTGCTGTGATCTCTTTATCCGATCTTCGCAGGGAAGACAGGGGCGGCTGTGACCATGGCCAAGCACTACAACGCCGCTTGCTTGTCCATTGACGCCATCGTGATGGAGGCCATCTCCGAGCGGAGCAGTTTGGCAGGGCTTCGGGCGCGGGAGCTCTGCATCCGAGCGGCCATTGAGCAAGCCCAACGAGAAAACGAGGAAGGAGGCGAGTGTTGTGGTTCAGCCATATGAAGACGAGGGGATTGGTATTCCAGAGCCCGGGAGAGTGGTGGATGATTCTTTCAATGAGGAAAATGAGGGGATTTTAGCTTAAGATCCAGGCTGTGAGAATAGGTTTGAAAGTGAAACTGCTTTGGAGTCCAGCAGAGAGGGAGATGCAGTGGCTGGTGGAGACTTTTTGCCTAGTAGTGTCATAGCAACCCCTGATAAGAAAGCAGATGGGCGAGAAAGCTCACCCAAAAACACACTTGTGTTTAGCAAGCATGTCAGGCTTGATTTTAGGGAGGATTCATAGAATCATAGAGTTGGAAGAGACCTCATGGACCATCCAGTCCAACCCCCTGCCAAGAAGCAGGAAAATTGCATTCAAAGTACCCCTGACAGATTGTCAGACTGTAGGATCTATGTAGCAATATTAAATAACCACTCACAAGCCGGTTATGCTTTGAAATGGATATATTGCTTGTATCTCTTTTTCCCACCACCACTTCCTTTTATACACCTTTCCTGCCCATCTCCCCCTCTTCTCAGTTTCCTTATGAGAGCATGTTGCTTCACAAGTTCCCATACAAGGCTTCCAGCGCCCTCTGCTGGCTTCAAAATGTCACAGAGGAGAGAATTGATTCAGCCAGGATGATTCAGTCAGGATGCCACGGAAGGAATTTGTGATGTCTTCATGCCATCAGAAATAAACTCCTGACAAATGGCCATCCAGCCTCTGTTTAAAACCTTCCAAAGAAGGAGCCTCCGCCACACTTCGGGGCAGAGAGTTCCACTGCTGAACGGCTTTCACAGTCAGGAAGTTCTTCCTAATGTTCAGATGGAATCTCCTTTCTTGTAGTTTGAAGCCATTGTTCCGCGTCCTAGTCTCCAGGGCAGCAGAAAACAAGCTTGCTCCCTCCTCCCTGTGGCTTCCTCTCATATATTTATACATGGCTATCATGTCTCCTCTCAGCCTTCTCTTCTTTGGGCTAAACATATCCAGCTCTTTCAGCCACTCCTCATAGGGCTTGTTCTCCAGACCCTTAATCCTTTGAGTAACCCTCTTCCTCTGGACACATTCCAGCTTAGAGTCAACATCTCCCTTCAATTGTGGTGCCCAGAATTGGACACAATATTCCAGGTGTGGTCTAACCAAGGCAGAATAGAGGGGCAGCATTATTTCCCTGTATCTAAACACTATGTTCCTATTGATGCAGGCCAAAATCCCATTGGCTTTTTTGCTGCCACATTAAACAAGCTAAGGAATTTACAAACACTCTGTGAGAAACAACAGCGTGAGAAAGCTCACAAGCAAGGGAGCCAAGGTCACAGAAATGCCTTCATGGCTTGTGGTCCTTATATCAGAGAAGTATCTCCTTTAGAATTCAGATCAGGCAACGCTGCAAAGCAGTGAGGATCTCGAACCTTGTTTTCAGTTTTGAGTTCTAAGGTCTTGGGAAGTTTGGATTCATGTTTTGGGAAGTTTCTATAGTGTTGCTTTTGGATTCATGTTCATGTTTTAATTCTCGTTCTCCTAGATTATGCTTATGTTTTGATTCTGGTTTTTCCTGTGCCTTGTTTTATGGAACAGATTTCAACTGTTTGGAGTGTTTTTCCCTATTGCCAGTTTGGATTGGCTTATTACTCATGGGTGTTGCAACCCAGAGAAGGAAATGAGGCCCTAAGATAACCCTCCACCACACTTGACTGGGAAAAAACAATTCTTTTTATTGATGAAAAATGATTACAAAATAAAGGAAAAATGCAAAGTCAAAAGCCACAGCAAAATCAGCAAACATGAATGTCCACGAACAAGATCAAAAACCCAAAACCACACTGTAAAATGCTGGAACCTGTTAGCAATCCACTAACCGTACTTGGTGTCCTAGAAATCTCTCAAGATGATGGCCAGAGGAACCGGGAGAACTGCCAAGGTCTTCCTCAATCTAAAACGATGCCTGAACTGAGAAAGTCAGCCCGGCGGAAGGCACTTAAAGCCGAGGAATTGGTTTCGTGATACGCCTCCCTGCTTTGAAGCCCTTGTTTGTATTTCTTTTAATCTGGAAGACCTTTGCAAGCTGAGTGATTCACTCCTGTCTTGCCAGATCTGGCCCCTTCTATTCTCATTAAGGTTCCCAGGTGCAGAAGGGAGTGAAAGGTCATGGCTTCCCTCTGAAACATTCTCATGAACACTGGTACTTTCATTTTCCAAATCTACAGAAGTGTCTTCCTCACTAATTTCAGGAGCATTGTCATTAATTTCAGGATCATTGACATCAAGAAGTACATTTTCATTAGCATCAGGAGGTACAAACAGAGAATCAGGTTCAAACTCAGGCTGAACCCCAACAGTTGCCTTGTCATGGAAGAGAACTGACTCTTGCTCCCTCCATGTTTCTGTCTCTCTGTGTGTATTCAGGAGGAGGCGAAGGGCAGCCCGGTCCGAGTTTGGGCAGCAGGCTGAGTGGCGAGGCCTTGGCCAAGCACCCCTCCGATGGCAGCCAGCACAGTTCGGAGTCCAAAACGGGGCCCCTCTCCAACCTCTCCAGAGGCTACCGGGGCAGCACCGTGACCACGAAGGGGAAGCCGGAAAGCCACGGGTCACAAAAGCCGGAGAAACCGCCGCTGCCACCATCGCAGCACCCGCAGTCGGATCAATACGGCTCCCAGGTGAGAGCAGGGCAGGTCATCGTGGGATCCTATTTCTGGGGGAAAGAGCTCTCCTCCCAGGTGAGGGGGTCTCTCAGTGGCTCATCTTCAAAGCCCACTCACTGGCTGGGAGTTTTCACAGTGCCGCTCCCAGGTTCACCAGTCATTCCCCTTTGCACAAAAGACCGAGGACCTTATCACATCGGGATATGCTCAATTTATATGAATGTGATTCCAAAAAGGTCCTGTCACATGACGTGTGTCCTATTCCGTCAGTAGAATCATAGGACCGCATCACATTGGGTTATACTCCGTTTCTGAGAATCTCTGAATGCAATTCCGAAAAGTTTCTGTCGCATGACGTGTGTCCCATTCTGTCAGTAATCTGGAGAATCATAGGACCTTATCACATTGGGATATACTCCTTTTATATGACTCTCTGAATGCAATTCCAAAAAGGGCCTGTTGCATGACGTGTGTCCCATTCCGTCAGTAATCTGTTGGAAACTGTTTCTGCAAAATGTCGCAAAAACTGAGTAATTGCGCATAGGATTCTAATAGTGTTGTTTGGTCTACTACGGTTTTGGGGTTCCATTTTTACATGTGATCATAAAATCAGTATGCTTTTCATCAGCTAAAATCTTGCAAGAACAGTAGCGCGAAAATTCCAGGCTATATTACTGTGCAATATTAAAATTGTTGGAGCTCAGCCTGTGATCACATTTCAGGATCAGGGTGCTTTGGATGGGGGGGAGTGATGTCAATGAGTTTCAAGATGAGTTTCAAGATGGCGATGGTTTGGTCAATGATATTGATGTAGAACAGTGGTTCTCAACCTGTGGGTCCCCAGATGTTTTGGCCTACAACTCCCAGAAATCCTAGCCAGTTTCTGGGAGTTGAAGGCCAAAACATCTGGGGACCCACAGGTTGAGAACCACTGTTGTAGAAGATCCCTGTTCAAATGTAGTTTCCCATGAGAATGTCCCTGAGGGGTGTGGGGATGATGGTGTTCTCTCTGATTTGTCACCAGAGAGTTCTCATGATAGGGAACATGAAAACAGTTCAGCACCTGGCCCAGCTGCAGAAATTAATGAGCAAATAGATAAGACGGGAAGAGATCCGTCAAAACAGGAGAGCTGAACAGTGCCTTCGGCGTTCTGCCAGGCTTCGGGAGAAAAAGATAAGACATTCTCAGCTATATTAGTGTGCAATATTAATATTGTTGGAGCTCAGCCTGTGATTGTGCTTCAGGATCAGGGTGCTTTGGATGTGGGGAGTCACATCAATGAGTTTCAAGATGAGTTTCAAGATGGCAATGGTTTGGTGAATGATATTGTTGGTGAAGACCCCTGTTCAAATGTAGTTTCCCATGAGAATGTCCCTGAGGGGTGTGGGGATGATGGTGTGCTCTCTGAATTGTTACCAGAGAGTTCTCATGATAGGGAACACGAAAACAGTTCGACACCTGGCCCAGCTGCAGAAATTATGCGTGACCGCATCTCCGCTTACGAACCCACGCACTCACTTTGTTCATCCGGAGAGGCCCTGCGTCGCAGGTGCGTTTGGTGGGGATGAGGGACAGGGCCTTCTCTGTGGTTGCCCCACGACTTTGGAACACCCTCCCCAAAGACATTAGACTTGCACCCACGTTGGCAGTCTTTAGGAAGAACTTGAAGACTTAGTTATTCCGATGTGCCTTTCCAGAATAGGAAAACCCCAGCACTATGTCCCAGAAGCACTTTATTAGAGTTTAATACTCTCTGCACATTGCACTTGCCCAGAACTCCAACATACCACCTCACACACCCAGCACTTTTAACCTGTACCCTTCTTTGGCCTGGCCTTGATTTTATTGTGTAATAGTGTAATGTTTTGTTGTGTTATTGCTTATGTTTTAATTTGCTTGCTTCGTTATTGTTTGTTGTTGTTATGTTGAGGCCTTGGCCTTTGTAAGCCGCATCGAGTCCTTTGGGAGATGCTAGCGGGGTACAAATAAAGTTTAATAATAATAATAATAATAATAATAATAATAATAATAATTAATGAGCAAATAGATAGATGGGAGGAGATCAGTCAAAAAAGGAGAGCCGAACAGTGGCGTTCTGCCAGGCTCCGAGAGAAAAAGATAAGACATTCTCAGCTAAAACGAAACCAATTTCTGAGTGCAAGAGACATAGCTAACGAGGAGATAAAAGTCCCAAGTACAGGATATGTAGTCAGATGAAGCACAGTTTGGAATCAAGTCAAGATCTTGTCCTTGTTTTTTGGAAGCTTTGCTTGGAAAAATCATGTTTTAAGTGCTTTTGTTTCATGGTTTTGATTCTTGGAATTTATGCTTTTATATTCATGCCTTGGATTCATGTTTCCTGATTTCTTGCATTCTGTTTGGGAAGTTTTGACTTTGTTTTTATGGACTTTGCTAGACTATTACCCTGGACTACTTTGTTTCTGCTTATCTTCTTACCTAATTGGATTTACCTATTTCTTAAAAGTACTTTTTACTTTCCTGCTTTTTAATTATCTTCAATAAAAGGATTGTTTCCCTATCCAACGGCGTGGTGCTTAAAGTCAGAGGGCTTTTCCTGCCCTAGAGTGCAACAAAAATTAAATAAAAAGAGTGATACAGGGAGGCATTTGAATGGATTGAGAAGAGCCAGCCTTTTGTGGTGTGATGAGTCAAAGCACAGTATTTTCAAAATGTACGAATTGCTTATGATGGGGTCAGTATGCAACCAGTCCTAAAAAAATAATACGGGATGCATACGGATATGAACGGAGTATGCCGCAATGTGATGAGGTCTCTCCTTGAACCTCAATGGCCTGCTTTGAATTGGCATGGAGGGGCCAGTCCCGTGCCCCGTTTCCTGACAGCTACCCCCCCCCTGCGCGCTTTGCACCCCTTCCTGCAGGTCCCATCCAGCCCCATTCCCTGCGGTCCCGTGCAGCGGCGCCTCAGCCTCAGTGCCAGCGTGACAGGAGACTATGGGCTGATGAGCTGCGTGCTTCCCGAGGAGCTCTTGGTCGAGATCCTTTCTGAGAGGATGCAGGTAAGGCCCGGAGGAGGCATTGGTCAGACAGACAAATAGTCATGGATTCCATCTGCTGTTATGGACACTTGCTGACCACAACAGAAGCCACTCATGCCAGTTTCAAGGCCATAGAGCAGTGGTTCCTAACCTGTGGTCTGTGGACCATCAGTGGTTCACAAGAACTAAAATGTTGCAACCCAGGGTAGTTTTCACCTTGTTCCAGACACCACCACACCAAGGCTGTAGGTTTTTGTAGTTTATTGAGAAAAACAAAAACAAAACAAAGAAATAGAAATGCAATAGTTCCATAGCCAAAACAGAGACTTAAATTTAAAGGCAAAGTTCCCAAGATCCAAAGGCAAAAACATGAAGCATAATCCCTTAGCAATGGTCAAACAAAAGTCCATGGTAAACAGTTGAAAACAAGACCCAAATCCCAGACTCAGGAAGTCAGAAGTGTGCTGCGAAAAGCCAAGGAAAATCTCCAGAAGTTAACATGGGAAGAGCAATGTTGGACTGACAAAAACTTCCTGTCAGCTACAAGACTAAATACCCTTTGTGAACATGAAAGCACTGCGTTTACCTTTGGCACCTTTGGCTTCTCGCTTGCTGGCCAAGCAAGTGCTTCTCCGAAGCCTTAATTATTATTATTATTATTATTATTATTAAACTTTATTTGTACCCCGCTAGCATCTCCCAAAGGATTTGATGTGGCTTACACAGGCCGAGGCCTCAACAACACAACATAATTGCAAACAATCTTGTCTGCTCATTAATTCATTATCTTCAAGGCTATGCAACCCCTTATCTGGGTCCAGCTGGGATGGATCCTCCACCTGGCCGTGTGGGATTTCGCTCTTGCTATCAGTCTCTCTAACTGCAGGAACATTCCTTTCCCCGGGGAACGGACTTGCTGTTTCTCTTTCAGCAGCCACACTATCAGCCCCGTCTGAAACATGTACAGGAATCTGTAACCCATCAGCCTCCTCGTCATCCTGCAGGAAGTCAGGCTCAGAAGGCCCAAACAGCTCAGCTTCAGACTCAGAGTCAAGCTGAGTCACAACATAAAATATGGTCCACAGCCTCACCATTACTAGACTGTTGCAACGAGACCGACTGGTCTTGTGAAACCCTCTTATAGTCCTGAGGCTTATTAAATATTATTTGTTTATTTGTTTGTTTGTTTATTTCCAACATTTCTATCCCATCCTTCTCAACCCCCGAAGGGGGGCTCAGGGGGGCTTACAACAGCAGCAATTTGATGCCGACAACATGCAGCATACGAAAATACATTGAGTAGCCGGATCCGGATCTGATTTAGCAACTGACGACTCAGTCCAAACCTGTCCTTGTCAAAGTTCAAATGTTGTGAATACTGCCAAAGCTATTATCTGAATGCCTGGTCCCAAAACCATGTTTTGAGCTTCTTTCCAAAAGAGAGGAGGGATGAAGGCAACCTAATTTTGCTAGGGAGAGTATTCCACAGGTGGGGGCCACCATCGAGAAGGCCCTGTCCCTTGTCCCTGCCAAACATGCTTGTGAAGAACGTGGGACCGAGAGCAGGGCCTCCCCAGATGATCTTAAACTCTGAGGCAGGACTTAGAGGGAGATACATTCAGACAGGTAGGATGGGCCAGAACCAAAGCCAAGACCAGCACTTTGAATTGTGGTCAGAAGTGGACCGACGGCCAGTGGAGCTGGCATAACAGGGGGGTGGTATGTTCCCAGTATGTCACTCCAATGCCGCACATTGGACTAGCTGGAGTTTCCGAACAGTCTTCTAAGGCAACCCCATGTAGAGCGCATTGCAGTAATCTATTCGGGATGTAACAAGAGCGTGGACCACTGTGGCCAGATCAGACTTCCCAAGGTTTCCTGTGGGTGAGCAGATGGTGACTACTGGATGGCATATCTTCAGTATCAGAAACGAGAGCTGATGTGGTCTATCCAATGCAATTTTCTGAATCAGCACCCCAATTAACCAAACCGAATCTAAAGTTGGCCAAAAACTGATTCGTAACCCTTTTGGTACTCGTGTTGGAGAGTGGTCACTGGCCAAAGTGGTCCCTGGTCTGCTTTTTCTTCCCGGGCAGCTCAACGACTGCTATCGCGGGATGGTGTTCGATGGGCTGGAGACCATCTTTGCCCGCAGCATGACGTCCGCCCTCCTCTGCGTCCTCAAGGCCATCAACAACCGGCGTTATATCTATTTCGTGAACCTGATCCAGGACTTTGCCGCGATGAAAGCCAAAGAGAAAAGCAAACAAGAGCAAGAAGGTAAGCGGGAAAGCTGGGCAATGACTCCTCGTTGCATTATTCCCTGTCTCTGTGAGTGGATCCAAGCCACACACCTCCCCCCCCCCATGACAAAAGTCACACAATTTGCACTGTTTAGAGCAAGTCTCTGAGGGCCATGGTTTGACCTGCATCTCCTCAGCTTTGCTGCATCTTCAGATGGCAAGAAACACCATGACGTTGGGGTTGAGGGTGAAGGGACAGCGATGGTGCAAACTTTGGCTGAGGTTTGGCCTCGCGTCCAACTTGAGCCTCGGTCTTCCTTCCTTCTCGGTTCCTATAAAAGAACGAGAGCAGCAAGAAGCCATTGCGCGCGAGAAGGCGCGTCTCCAGGATATGGACGAAGAGGAGTACGATGCCTTGACCGAAGAACAGAAGATCCATTTTGACAGCGAACTCTTGCAGGCTCTGCGGGAGCGGAAGAAAAGGTCAGGAGGGGGCTGTTCCTGGGCCACGACTCCCAATGACTCCTAAAGCCGGTTGGCGCTTTTGGCCCATCTCTCTCTTTCTGCGGAGGTGGTCCTATGGGTGGAAGGGTAACCAAGAGTTGACAGGGTTGGTTGGTGTTTTAGAGAAGGCATGGGCAAACTTTGGCCCTCCCT